GTGTGTGTGTGTATGTATGTATGTATGTATGTATGTATGTATATTATACATTTCTGACCTTTTAGGTGTGGCTTTGGGAGTGAGTGTGTCCCCAAGGCTTAGGAGGACAGATTGTTTCCTCTCATGGTCATACAATGCTTTTCAATCTTTAACCCTTTGTTGGCACAGGCAGATCTATTTTACAACTGATAACAAGATTTGCCAGTACAGACAGTAGGGCTGCAACTAATGATTATCTTCATAATTGATTAGTTGGCTGATTTATTTTTTTTAATTATCTGATAAAAACAATTTCAATAAATACCATCCTTTAAAATAAAATACACAAATTGAGTGTTACAAAGTTTACTTCAGAATAAAACTGCATGCACAATGTTCTGCAATCGCACTGCACTGCAACGTATGGCATTGCGGTACCATGCGTTTCAGTGCAGGTGATCACACTGTGGGTGGGAGGCGTGTTTGGGGTGCCATTGAAATGATTGGCACTGCGGGGGGACGAAACCAAATTACATATTTCCATATATATATAGTGCAATATAAATGGGTAAGCCGTATTAGTCCAGTAGACAAGATGTCAAAAAAGACAAAAACTTAGTATTGCAGTGTGCAATGATACCTTTCTTATTGGACTAACAAAATATATAAAAGACAAGCTTTTCGAGAGTGAACCTGAAGAAGAGAGGTTCACTCTGGAAAGCTTCTCTTTTATATATTTTGTTAGTCCAATAAGAAAGGTATCATTGCACACTGCAATACTAAGTTTTTGTCTATATATATATATATATTCTATTTATATATTCTATCATTTTAATATACTTGTTTTGTAAGCACATGGCACTTGAATGGCTTCAGCCAGGTAATGACGGCTGCCAGTGGCAAGATTCCACAGATGGCAGCTGAATGTAAATACAGCAGGTAGTGGTCTGGTGCCATTTCAAATTGCAATAGCCAATAGCAGGTTGGCTATTGCACGTGCCCACTGCTTGCTGTGCCCTCCTCCCAGCATGGAGGAGAGAGCTAGGGGATCCAACCAACTAAATCGATAATGAGAATAGTAAACAAGTATTCTTATCAATTATTTTCGATTAGTTGGTTGCAGCCTAACAGAGAGGGTTAAATATGATAAACATGAACTCCCCAGCCCCCTCCTTGAAATTACAGAGGGTTGGTGAACTCCATTTGAGAGTTAGGCCTGGTTCACACTGAGCGTATTGTCACAGCTAATTCAGCGCGAGAAAAAGCTTCCCTAAAAAAATTGCATTCATTCCTATGGCCCATGTTTAATACACATTGCAATTGATTTTGCGTGCGTTTGTCACTGACATCAATGTGTCACAATCTGATCATAAAAACGTGTGACCTAATGTATGTAACAAACATGCAGCAAACGGCTGTTGCCGAGGTGTGAATCAGGTAC